TCGTTATATAATATATAAACGAACATACATGTTTATTTTGCTCAATAATAAGTTACGGTAGTTTCTAGTTCAGAACTTCGCTATGTGTGAACACTAGAACCAGTTATGAAAAGGTCTGGGGTTAGATTTATTTATTTTTATTTTTTATTTATTCTGTTTTACTCCAAGGAATATAGAGATAATAGGTAATGAAGGAAAATTAACTCCTATTTCCAATGGGATTCACCTGCCATATTGGGTGATAAGACACTCGACTTGATAGTGTTTCATAGAAATAAAAAAAAAAACTGTTAAAGAGTACTGCATAATGCCATTGTAAATCATACGTTATTAATAGAGATCCGTATATAGCCAAGTTGATTAGGCTGGCAGAATCATTATATATAGTCGTTTAAATTTAATCTATCTTTTAATAAGATACGGTAAAAACATTGGAAGAGTTCCAGAATGGGATACAGTTTGCCAGAAGTTCATTTCTACCACTTTGTATGAACGTAACTTCCAACGAAAAGTTGGATATCAACTATTGCTACGAGTCTTGTAAGTATATTTTAAACAACAGTTATATAAACACAGATATAACTTAAGGTAGTAAACACTTAATGTGAAAAATGTGGAATATTTTTCACTTAGTACATTATATTATTACATGACAATTATAGTATGCTTTATAGGTACCAGGTAATGTTGGTGTTTTTAATAAATGACGTCTTGCACGTTAGAGAGGAACAGATTTATGGGGTATAAGTATCCGTGACTAGCTCAAAGCATATTGTATTGCTGTGTGTTTTTTCAATTTCTGCTGTAGGTATATTGTTTTTTGTTAATCAATTATTATCATTAGTGTTGGATATTATTACTATTACTATCGACATTCATTATAGATGGATCTGTTCAAGTAAATGGCTATTTTAGAGATTTTTTCGTACACGAAACTACTCCAGTCACTTATTCTTTTGAATTTATGGATGGTACGTATAGTAAAATCTAAGTAAGCCTAGTAAACTACAATAAACTTTCAGTATGTCCAGCTATAAAATCGCATGTAGGCCTATTAAAAGATATAGGTAGCAAAATATATACAAATATCAAATGATTAAATCCTGTACACTAGCCATATGTCTGTCGTTACGTCTGTTGCCACTCGTTATGTTTTTTATACAGGCCTAATTATGTTAATTTGATAACGATGCTTCGTCGTCTAACTTAATATGCAAATATGAATTTTCTGTGTTTCTGTGCAAATTGTCCATAAGTGTGTTCGAAATGTGGCGTAAATTTATGAAAGTATAGGCCTACCGTTGACTAAGTGTGTGCATAAACAATAATTGATAAAGAAATTATGTTCACTCAACAGTAGATGCAGGTTGCACTGTTTCTCTAGTGTGGGATTTTGTATATGAAGAATGGATAAACCAAGTCAAAACGTAAGTTTATAATTCATAATAGTGGACTTGGAAGTGATGATTTCTTCGAATTATAATACCTTATTTGGTAGACTTGCCACAAGTCTCTAATTTATTGATTTTTCGTAGTATTAGCACATTTCGGAAAGCGCCACCAGCGTCGAGAAACTTTTTTGATGCGAACTAATCCAAGAAAAAGTATACTATGAAACGCCAAGCAAATAGGTAATATGGAACGCCATTGGTGCCAAAATTCCAGCTTTTTTACTGATTAGGAGACAAAGTTTAGGGACTGGAACCCAGTCTACTGATCTGGGAACCATCAAACATGCAAAAATAGGCCCAGTCCTACCAAAGTTATACTCCGATTACATTCTTAATTTAAAATTCAGGTTTACATTGCGTGGGCCAGGGTTTCCTACCGGCTTTAGGCACCTATCATTCAATCTTCCAATGAACAAGAAAGATAGGCCAGACTTTGAGAGGTGTTAGAAATATTGGAAATAAATTACGTTTTATCTAAATTTTAATTTATTCGATGTTTCTCCATAGCCATGTCAACGGTAGCAGTAGGTACGGAAATTATTTCCAAGCAAGCAAATTCTTTACGATTTCGCAGTATCTTCGGTCTTTATACCCCCAGGCGAACTTGCACTTTCCGCCCTCTACAGTAAAACCTGAGGTTTGTTGCTCTTGAAGTTGTATTATTGCAATGTAAATTAATTCATTTGATTCAAAGTACTCCTGTGCTTTAAAAAAAACAACACAATATCTAATGATAATTAATAGGTACAAGCTTGTTTTTGTGCGATCGGATGTCATGTTTTACAAAGAAATTCGGGGTCATATACTATATTCCAGGTTTTATTTAGCCATCAAAGTTGTTTAACCGCATCTTTGACAAATGGAGGTGCGAGATTGTATGATATTAATAAGTTAATTAACTATTTTTAAATTTGTGTCTTTTTACTAAGTTTTTGTACTGGTTATAATCATTTCGATTAATAATATATTATTTTGTATTAATTATTATCGTCTACAGTATGTTTAAAGCATTTTATTCTATTATTTAGGTAAACTATTAATGCATTTACCATGAGAGTCTCATTGTCAACTGATCTGCCGACGTTAAAGAGGGCTAAATACAGATTAGAAGGCATAATGATGACGTATAAAACTAAAGTATTATATTTGCACAGGCCGGCTGATGCCTCCGATATTGTAACAGACCTTATCGGCAACAAATTACAGATATGAAAAAACAGACACTTACAGCAGTCCAAACTCATGTGTTTTCAATAAATTTACGATAATTTTATATTTTCCATTTTTAGTTTTTATTATTAAATTATTTTAAATATTTCAATATAATAATTTAATAACAAAAGACAAAGACTGAACAAATAATAATAATAATGTATTACAGGTAACACTGCTGGACGATTCATGTTCTCAAGCTGAAATATCGAACACACCAATATGTGCTTATATCGATGAAACACACTCGTAAGTTTTTAGTAGATGTTTTCAATTTGTAATGATTAATGTCACTCTCAGCACTTACGAGTGACGCCATCTAAATATGGGTATAAGGAAATGAATGCGAGAGGTGAACCTCGAGTAAGCTTAACCTCTAAACTGAGTTTTATTACCTCTGTCAAGAAGGTTATGCATTCTCTGCTGTCTTTCTGTTAGCAAGATTACACAAAAACTAATGAACGGGTCATCATAAATTTAGTTGAATGGTACATAATAATCAAAGAAAAACACCATTAAATTTTCGAAAGAAAGGGTCAATGGACAAGATCAGAGTCATGATCAAAGTTCGAATTTTTACCCTCAAGTATAATAACATCACACAAGAAAACAATGTACCAGAACACGACGGGCGATTCCATTCTTGAGGGTATTCTGCAGCACTCAAAAAATAATGTATACGCGTGTAGACAAGGAAAGTAGATACACCAAAGTATAAATTCCTATATACAGTTGATGTGGCTACCAGGCTGCCATTGTCTAAAACCCTGGTTTTCAATCATTTTTGATGGGGACAATTCCGTAGCCAGCTATTGGGACAGTCCCACACAATTTTATATTGGGTCCACAAAGAATGGGTCCACATTTTTAAAAATGAGTCTAAATTATGCTGTTTTATGCAAAAATGAGTCCGCTTTGTGAAAAAAGGGTCCAGATTTCTCATATTTTGCATAGATTAGTAAAGTTTTAAGAAAATGGGTCCATATTTTCATATTTTTTGCGTAAAATGGGTCAACTTATGAGAAAATGGGTCCACATTATTTAAATTTACACGTAACGTGGGCCCACCCCGATATTGTTTCGCGCTGTTTCAAATCCTGGATACGGCATTGGATGGGACATCATTTGGTGACCTATTGATGACGACCCAAACCGAAAAATGTTTGAAAGAGTAGAATGCTACTGGGGATCGGATTCATCACTAGCCATCAAGCGCTCGATTGTCTAGTGGTTAAGACATCAGGATCTAGAGATCGTGGGTTCGATTCGAAAGTTTTTACTGAGTATTCGGCAGGCCAACATATAACACGTCACTTAGGGCATTCATCACGTCGTAAAAGAAGAATTATTTGTTATACTTTTCACATGTTTGAAGTAAAATGGTATCCACAACCATACGTGGCAAAATTATACCTCTGTATTTTCAGTGATAAGGGCTTGTGCTGTAGCTAGTAATCAATTAATAATTTGTGTAATTTTCATTTCTAAAGTATCTCAACAGTTGGCTGTGAGACAGTAGCCCAAAACTTTACCTATGAAGGAGTTTATTGCAAATGTCCGCTTGCTGACGCGTATGTTGTTATATTAGAGGCACTACCGGCCGTAAGTATGTCAGTTTTGATTGAAAATGAAAAATGGAAGAAGGAAAAGTATTTCTCTTCTTCTTCCCTTCCATTTCCACAAAAATATACTGAGATTACAATAATGCATGTGGAAAATGGTGTTCAAACTGAATGTTAAGACTAGGCGCGTGTAAAGAAAATGATGTGAAGAAAAACGAAGTTGAGGGTGGTAAGAGAAGGGAGTATGAGAAATGAAAACAAGCATTACAGAATAGGCTAGATTAAGAGAGAACAAGAATAAGAAAGAAATAAGAAGAAAAATAGCCTACAGGATAAAGGAAATTCAGAACGGGAATATATTGAAACGAGAGAGAATGACATGGAATGAGTGAAACATTATGGGAAGGGTTTTTTGTTTCGCTTTTAGATAATTATTCTAGGCCAGAGAGCACCGAACGTCAACCACTTATGATCCACCGTGTTATAATAAGGTAAAAGTCGCATCTGAATATAGCTTCATTAAAAAAAAAACTCTATTCTGAATGCATTTTTTGATTAATCTAAATCACAGCTTAAACTTCCTACTGGCGAAAAAATTGTGGCTGTAACTGGAAGTGGAGTGAACATGGCCTCTATTATAACATTTTTTGCACATAAGATCTGGAATGGGTATGAAAACACTTTTTCATTTGTTTTGTCATATGTAATGAAAAATGAGTTAGAGTAGGGAGTAATACCCTAGGGGAATGGTAAAAATAAGGGTAAAGGGTAGGGTAAGTATGGGTAAACAAAGGAAAAAAGGTCAATGCCAAGGGATTGGGATGAGGGATAGGGTGATGATGATGATGATGATGACGAAGAAGAAGAAGATGATGATAATAAAGATAAGGACAATGATACGGATCAGTGGCGTAACGACGAGTCACGGGGCCCGGGTGAGAAAGTGTTATATATGGGTCTGCAATAGGTAATAATATGTCGGTCCTATAGCGCTCTTCATGCTAGTAATAGTTATAATAATATTAATATATGTCGGTCTTATAGCGCTTCATGCATAAAGCCTCTAAGCGGTCATTGGATCAAACAAACACGTATGAAACACATACTCAGCTACCTGGGGAAAATTCCATAATATTGCAGCTAGTAATCAGCGCAGTTGTGTTCGAACTTACCAGGTACCCACTTGTACTCCTGGGTGGAGAGAGGCACAGGGGTGGCCCCAGGATTTGCCCGAGTGGGTGGGGGGGGGGGGGGGGGGGTCAACGACGTCGCCGTTGAAACCCCTAAATTCGACAATTTAGGGGTTTCAAAGGCTTATGTAATCGATTTTAGAGTCTACTAATAGGCCTATGTAAAAAGTACATATAATATTTTTTTCTCCCCGATGAATTGTGCTTTTTCTCTCCGACGGGGAGGCCACCTTTCCCCGACGGGGGGGGGCCCTGGCCCCCCGACGGGGGACCCTGGCCCTGGCATGACCTGGCCAAATGCCTACACTGGGCCTACGGTTTAATGTCCTTACTATAGTATACGCTTGCCTACAATAACAAGAGCAATGCCAATGATAACAGATATCAATGATATTTTTTTTAGGTTAGAAGTCAGCACTGAAGGATCTGATATTTTCAACAATATACTCTCATCAATTCTTCTGGCTAACGGGGCGTTGTTATTTGATGAAAGTGTTGATTATTTCCGCGAAAGCGTAAGCATATTTATTTTCTCTATTTAGTATCATTTGACATTATTTGAATTTAAATACTCCATATATTTTTAATTATGTCAGCAACATAAAGTTGCAGGGGTTACAATCCAGAAATAATGGCCCAGCTTTTAGTGGTTAAAGCATCATGGAGAATGTTTGCCTTATTCGTGATGAGGGGTTCTGGCGTATCAGTAGAAGACCATGTTAGGGTGTTTACTTGTATCAGACCAATCTTTGAGTATCCAGTGTGGCATGGTGGGATATAAAGAAAATTAGCTAATAAATTGAATTTCTGTATAGTTTGAGTATTGTTTATACATTTCCAGTATAGCCTATGTGATGTAATACTACATGTATGCAAAACTTCATAACCAACAGTTATCTGAAAATTCAGGTTTGTTGGTTTACAAACATTCGACGAATTTAATAACGCCATGCATGGTGACAGACACGAAGGGACCAGGGTGCACAGACACGAAGGGACCAGGGTGCACAGACAGAAGGGACCCCAAGTCATTGATCGAGTTCTTAGTGCACATATCTTAGCGCCTTGTATCTTTAAGCCGGGACCGGCACCGTTGCGCCAACCGCCCTCTAATGATAAAAAAACAAACCAGCCAAATATCCAAAGTGAATCTTCTCCTATGGGATATTAAAAAAATAGTAGGCCTACATGGTAAAACTGAGTATAATTTTTCTCTTTTTATAATTACAGACGCAGCAGGATATTCTTGCACAATCGCTGGCATATAGTTTGATAACTTTAAACGTGTGGATGCTATTTTGGGTTGTAGATAAATCAATTATAAAACAACCGGAAAACACAAATTACAGCTTGGGATCATTTTATCAGATATTTGGCTGGACTGTACCATTAATATATGTCTTTCTGTGCAGTTGTTATGTGGAAAATTACGCCTCTTACAACTACAGGTAAGTTTCTAGAAGTAAAAACAAGAATACTTTCCATCTGACCACGCAAAAGTTAATTACAAGAAAAAAAAATATTACTCCGGTTTTAGACAGTATAGTAATGCTCTGCCAACATAATTTTCTGACGTAATTCGGTGATTGGGTAGCACTGGATAGTATGCAAGATTCAAAAGAAAAATCATTTCCAAATGGGAATTGAGAAACGTCATACTGTACGTGAGAAAAACAACAAATCAATAGTTTTGTGTATATTTTTTCAACGTAAAGAAGTCTTGGTGCAGAACATTTGCAATTTATAGTAATACAAATAAGAATATAATAAGAGCGTTACAAGAAAAATACGTTAGTGCCGGTGACTGGCACGTTAACTATCGGCAGGTTTGATTTTCACGGTGCGGGATGTGCTTCTACCAAACATTATGGTTTAATTCTTTCAACTAAAAGACTGTGATCATACACTATGTATTCCTTTCATTACTGTGATAGGATAGGAAATAATGCATAATGGAGTTCTGCACTTGTTTCACTACGAAAAATATACTTAAACTGATATTCCGATTTTTTCAGACACTGGCCAAATACCGAAAATGGCGCTATCTGGACTCTTTTTGGACCAATGACTGGGTTGTTTTTGGTAAGTCAAATTGAACCAGGCTATACATACATACATACGAATTGGTATACCGCAATAGACCCTCCATGTAAAAGTTTGTCACTGAGCCACCTTTATTTCAAATTCAAATAAAGGTCTCCCTCCAATTAAAAACCACTTTTGGGACCGGGTTTTTCGTGGTCTTCAGCTTTGGTCTCAGAATTGCATTTCATTTCATTTATTTATTCAAGTGTCTTGGGGCCCCGAAAGCCACAAAATTACCATGACAAAAGTCTGGAGCCCCGGAAAACTTATCTTAACTACATTATTAGCGAGTATATAAAAGGAAAGGTTTAAAATGTAAAAAATGAAAGGCCAAGACAATTAAAATAATAAAAAAATACACAGGTTTCGCACACAATAATAATTAAAAGACAATAATGAATTGATAAAAGACATTAATAGAGATAAAAGACAAAGACCAAATATGGGACCACAGAAAATGGTCTTTAATTGGAGATTGTCTTGAATTGGAGGGTCTTAAATTAAAGAGATATAGGCCTAATACATAAATCAAAGATAATAATACAGAGAGGTTTCTGTTGAGAATCAAACCCGCAATCTCTCGCAATCTCGGTTTAGGCCACTAAGGCCTGTAAGAATTTAGGCCTATTACGGATTCAACATCAATAATAATATCTAAGATTTTGCTGCTTGGCACAGATGATTATATATATATATATACTGTCTCTTATACACATCTAGATGTGTATAAGAGACAGTTTTACAATATATTGGTTTAGTTTTAGTATTACGACTCAAATGGAACTTAATTATTTTGTTCTATATAAGCTGTTTGGCGCTGTTCGCGTTGTTGCACACTAAAATAATACAGACTTCGCTTGACTTGTAAAACTTTGATAGCAAACTTTAATTCTTGTATCTGTATAAATGGATTTAAAGGGAAAACTATTGACTAGTTTTCTCAGATGATAATGAAGATTATGACTCAGCAACAACATGTGATAGAAATGACAGTGTTGCTACTGGTGATGGGACAGGAAGTGTCAGATGAGGGGTGGGGAAGAAAGAGGGCGGTATATAACAACTTTAAGACTATTACACCCTCCCCCGCTTTCAAAATGTTGCCTCCAACATGTTCTGAAATTATAAGGTAATACTATAGTTAGGTTAGGTAACAATCATTCAATATACATAGCTGCTATGGTGCTATGAAGGCTGGACGGTTTGTGTGATAGGTTGCGAGCTAGGAGTCGGTATAAATGCGGGTGCTGTCGCTCTGAGTTGATACGTTGTGGCAGTATGTATTTCATCACTATCACTCTCGTCACTATTTGGTTGGGTGTACGTTTCTTTGTTTCTTTTAGACCTTCGTAGCTGACGCGTTTCTGCAGTTTGGTGATGCTTTAAGTGTGGTTGCTTTGGTTCCGGTTGTTCTGATTTAATGGGGAGATGGTTACAGGGAAGTAGCATGTTTCGATGAAGTATGCGACATTTTCCTCCGTTCTCCGGTCGCAATTCATAAACTGGAAGTTCGTTTGAAATCTTCTTTATCACCACATGAATCTGCTGCTCCCATCTGTCTGCTAAATTGTGTTTCCCATGAAAGGCCACTTTCTTCACTAAAACACGATCCCCATCCTCAAGGGTATTTTCTCTTGCAGATTGGTCAAAGTGTTCCATAGATTTGGCCGCTGACGCCTTGCTATATGCGTACGTTAATCCTTTTCGAAGATCAGAAACATATGTAGCGTGGTTTGCCTCGGAAACACTGTATGGTGTGAGACCTAGACATACGTCAACTGGCAATCTTGGGTTGCGTCCAAACATTAAAAGATACGGTGAATAACCTGTTGAACTCTGTTTCGTGCAGTTGTATGCATGCGTTAATGGGCCAACAAAATCTTTCCAATGCGCTTTCTTTTCCACAGGAAGTGTTCCAAGCATATCCAGTAAAGTTCTGTTGTATCGCTCGCACAATCCGTTCCCTGCTGGATGGTAGGGTGTGGTACGACTTTTTGTGATGGATAACAGCTTACACAGTTCTAGGATAACGGCACTCTCGAAGTTTCGCCCTTGGTCTGACTGCAGACGAGTAGGAATACCGTAGTGGATAAAGAAATTATCGAATAATGCTTTTGCTGTCTTTTTAGCTGTCTGATTTCGAGTGGGAACAGTAACTGCATACTTTGAGAAATGGTCGGTAATTACGAGTACATTCTCGATCCCTCCGGCAGATGGTTCAAGCGTCAAGTAGTCGATGCATACAAGTTCCATCGGTTCGTGGCTGACAATTGAAACCAAAGGTGCTACCCGGTGGGCCTCTGGTGGTACTTTGCGACGAGTACATCGCTCACACCTTTTTACTCTGTCGGCTACATCAGATGCCATATTGGGCCAATAAAATCGACATCTGGCAAGTTCAAGAGTCCTGTCTCTTCCTGGATGTCCGACTTCGTCGTGTATACCAGCCATTGCCCGTTCTCGATATTTTTCCGGAACTACTAACTGGTAATTGGTTTCACCATCTTGTTGCCTGACACGATGGAGAGTTTTCTCCTTGATTTGTAGTCGGTCCCATTCCCGCAATAGCATTACCACTTCAGGTGCCATCTGCTTCCTGTCTTTGTTAGATGGTCGCTGTCCCACCAGTTTCAACTTTATTATGGCACTGATAATGGGATCTTCTTCCTGTAGACGACGCCACTCCTTTTATTGCTACTTTCGGGAATGTCTCCGAGCCAGGCCAATGCACTGGATTTAGTAGTGTTTCCGGAATGGCATCTGACGATGTACTTGTAGACTCAACAATGGGAAAGCAAAATATGTGAGACTGGCAAATTGCTTTTATTACCTCAGGGGTAAGGGTTGATTGCTCATTCTCGGTTACTTCCTCGTGTGGACGTCTAGAGAGGCCATCCGCATCTCCATTCCTTTTTACTGGACGATATGACACGGTGAAATCGTAAGTGGACAGTGCAGCCAACCACCTATGACCAGCCGCATCGAGTTTCGCAGTAGTGGCAACATATGTTAGTGGATTATTGTCGGTTCTGACTTCAAACCTTCTGCCGTATAAATACTCGTGAAATTTATTAGTTACTGCCCATTTCAGCGCCAAGTACTCTAATTTATGCGCAGGGTACCTCTTTTCGTTCCCGCTTAAGCCCCTGCTTGCACATGCGATTACTCGTTCTTTGCCTTCCTGGAGCTGGTACAGCGCTGCCCCGAGACCGTCTCCACTGGCATCAGTATTTAGAATAAATGGTTGGCTGAAGTCGGCGTATGCTAATATGGGCGGTTCACCATATTAAACGCTTTCCATACTTCTCTTGGCAATGTTCACGATATTGTTGTATGGTATTAGTACCGATAAGTACTGGTATATTCTTATTGTAGTTGGTGTCAGCAACAACTAATGCTAATACATACAGGGTGATATCCTCTGTTCCTTTTAGTTTTGGTAAAGTGATGGCAACTTCAATATATCCTAAGAACGGAATAAATTGTCCACCAGCTCCTACGACGAACAATAAATCATTTAATGGGTATAGTGTTGTCCCGTTGTTGGCCAAGTTGTCTTTGAAAAATGTTTCGGAAACGGTAGTCAGCTGGGAACCAGTGTCCAACAAAGCGCTACAAGTCATTTCATTTATTATTATCTGTGTTTCGTTGGGTGGTCCTAGTAAGCGTTGGAGTGTGTGTGTGTCTTGGGTGATCGTGTCTGGCCTGGGTGTTGGAAGGGTGGCTTGTTGGTGTACAGTCACATTCCGTTGTTTAGGTGGAACTTCGGATTGGTCTTCCTGCTCCCTTACTAGTCGCAAAAGACGCTCTGGCGCAATCTTAGTTTCGTAATGATGATGAAGAGAGGCTTTGATATTGGCATCACGTAATCCTTTCCAGAACACGTCTCGTAACCGGTCATCAGACTGATCACCAATTTCGCCCTTGTCTCTTGCTTGGTGGAGCAAGTCTTCCAGACGGTAGAAGAACGTGCGTGCATTTTCATCTTTATTTTGCCTACAACTATAGAACTTCTGGAGGAGTACAACGCCATCATCAACAGATGAATAGAAAGTATCTAATTTTTTTAGAACTTCTTTTAAACTCTGGCACCTCATGGTGAGACGCCTAGCGCAGTGACTTTCGGACATATGATGGTGGATAACTATTATCTTCAGCCATTAACATACGAACTTCATACCGCCATTCGTCGTACGTAGCATCACCTGGTTTTACGGGGGTTTCTCCAGAAAATATTGGTGGCTTAGATATTGTTTGCTGTAAAACTACAGGCCGCCTATCTGTATTAGTTGGGGACGACGCAGGATAGACGATTACTGGAGACGACTCTTGCATAGGAATTGGTTGTGCCGTGTAAGGTGTTCTTACTGGTTCTGGCCTTGGAGTAACTGCAAATCGATCTGCATTTCTAGAGCATGTGGTGGTCTGGTCTCATGATTGCTTACTACATTTCGAGTGTCTTTATACGATGATCCAGTTGGTATTTGTGGCAGATATCTTTTTGGTCGGCTCGTTTGCTGCTGTACAGCAGGACGGTCATTAGGTGTATTTGACTCTGATATAGTTAAGTCTCCCATATTGACGTGCGAAGTGTAGTTCGTATCGTGATCATGAGGCTGTATTTGCTGTCTTAAATGATTAATAATGGTGTAAGTTCCGGTATAGTCCGAAGCATGAACACAAGGATACTGGTGTTCGGCCATTTTGATTCCGTGTAGCTTGTGGGGGAGTCGTGGGTGCCCTGGCAGTGTTGTATCCATTTTCTTCCTAAACGTTTGGTCTTCACAGCAAATCAGTATTGTGCAAAGCCCCACATTGGGCGCCAAAATTATGTTACGGTTATTCTGTAGTTGATGGATACGATCTACCGTGGGGGCGTTTATTCGCATTGTTGCACACTAAAATAATACAGACTTCGCTTGACTTGTAAAACTTTGATAGCAAACTTTAATTCTTGTATCTGTATAAATGGATTTAAAGGGAAAACTATTGACTAGTTTTCTCAGATGATAATGAAGATTATGACTCAGCAACAACATGTGATAGAAATGACAGTGTTGCTACTGGTGATGGGACAGGAAGTGTCAGATGAGGGGTGGGGAAGAAAGAGGGCGGTATATAACAACTTTAAGACTATTACACATATATATATAATGAATATATATATAATGAATATATATATATATATTGGCACAGAATATATAATATATATACATATATATAGGCCTATACAGTATATATATATACATATATATATATATATATATATTTATATATATATAGAATCATTATTGATTAAATGTTTAAACGTATATTTTTGTACAGATATCTTTTTCCGTGTGTGTTTACAAGTTAAACAAAGTCGGTAACATGACGGCCCGTGACAGTCAGGAGAGAAACCGTATTCGTAGGTATGTAGTAATACCGGTAGTTGAAAGACCCGGACATGTAATAGCAATTTGAAACACGAGGTGTAGGCCTAAACCTATTTATTCATATGCTTTCTGATGAATAGGTCCTGTAATTACAGTGTTCTTAGTATAAATATCAAATTTTGAAGGACCAAAAATCACTCAGCATCCTAATATTATTTACTACAGTACAATTATGAGAGTATGAGTCGTCTTTACCATTGACTTGTTTCTTTTGTCCTTTATTTCAATAGGCTTATGTCATCGATTGTACTGTACTTGGTTGCACTGGTGTTTCTCTTTGGGAAGTGGTCTATGGGAATTTGGACTACTGACATTCCGTTACTTCAGTTTATCTTCTCGATACTAGTGTGGGTACAGTTCATCGTCACTGCTTCAATTTACTATGTGTACAACCGCTGCCTCAAATCAAGCACCACCGAAAACGGAGACCGAAATAAGAATGATGATTGCCTTAAAGGTCATGGAAATCCTGAATTGGAAAAAAATCCCGAAGGTGCGACGTCAGCTTCTTCGATGTAGTGCAAAACTTACCTTCAGTAATATAGTGTAGGCCTATTTGTGATTTATGCTCTATATTTAGTTAAGGCCTCAATATAATTGTATCAGAAGAGGTAAAAGGCACACTGCAGTTTGATTACAAGTGGAATCTGCCGTTAAGCACGTATTCCTGGCTAATAAATACCACTTTTTGATTGGTCAATTTTAAAGTTTTTTTTAACACTCCGGAAAAGGTCCATTGCACATTTTCTTACTAAAATATGTTTTCTTCTTTTATAAGCACCTATTTAATCCCAGTCGCACCTATACTTACAAACCAAGAAATGATTAGGCTCTATCCAGAAGCTTTAGTATGGTCAAAACTCAAGTTAAACTACTTTAATGTGACCTCCATTTAGTACAGGGACATTCTGAAGGCTATGAGAATGTTCCCATCACAAGACCGACTAAAGTAGGCAATTAATCACTTTATGGACATTCTCTAGATTTTAGCATAGACTAGATATAGTGGATGATGATTAGTGAACAGTGAATTTTCGGATAGAGCTAGCAGGAGAATAACAACGAGATTAGACTAGGAGTTAAACGCCGGACTACATCCTTTTTATATATACAGTCTGACATCAGTGAAACTTAATGTTTATCTTAAGTTATCTCATGTAGTAGTTTGAATAAAAAGGAAACCGAGCGATACTCAATTAAAGAACCTGTTTCAGTGTAATTTTGTATACTTTGAAGTGACGCTGTTCATACAACACACGACAACCAAATAATCAGCGTTACATTAGTATAGAGTGACCTTCATACCCTTTACTAGCCCTGTCCACTACCAGTAGGGCCTGCTCAATATGTTAAAGTAATCATAAGGCCAGGCACACTAATTAGCCTTATTGTCTTATCTTGCCCCTTTGGCAGGGTTTGGCTTGGCATTCTTCTAATTCTAGACACTCTACATTCAACTCAACCCAATTCAACTTCTATTGTTTAAACGACTGTACTGTTTCTTATAATATCAATTTTTACTGTATTTACTCAACGGTTCTGAAGAGGATACAGATGTAAGTTTAACTTTATTTTATGTTATATTTTAGGTTTGATTAGATTTAATTGTTATGATGTATCTTATGATATAAATAATATAGGCTTTATGCTGTGCAACAAGTAACATGTTACAGTAGTTTAATAGGTTGACTGCATTATGTGTGCTTTGTTAATTATAATTTTGGTAACTTGTGATTAAGTAATTATAGTTTATGGATTATTCTGTTTATTTGAGTTCTACAGTGTGCAGATTATTTTGTTTACTTTCTACATGAAAGTTAATTAGTACAATAACCCATTCCACTTATTTACAATATTATATTTTAACTATTTAGGATTACAGTTCAGTGATTTTCTATAACACGACTTTATGACTTTTATAATCTTATTTTCAGTTCAAACCGTATCATTTTGATGAATAAACCCTTTCAACCCTCATCAAGGTGTACGAGTATAAATCCATTCTCTGTCTTGACACAATCAGAACCACATATATAAAACTGGAGGTTATACAAGGTTACTCATGAATCATGATCGTATACATAGCGATGGCCAAGTGGCATCATTTATGAGCAACCTTTGGTCTAAGTTCATTCATTAAAAGCTTTTGCAGAGCTTGTGTTACTGAAATCGCTTTTTGATGTTTTTGTAATGATATTAGATGCCAGGTTTTGGAAAATTCGGAGCTTTTTGCTTTGAGTTTTATTTGAACGTCCCCTATATGACATTTCAATATTCAAGAAGTGGAGCCATAAGTGATTTATATAGTTTTTTTTTCTCTCTTTTGTTGGAGTTACACCCAATTTTATTTCATTTCTCTTTTCTTAGTTTTTTACACATGAAATAATGACATAACGGTAATTATAAAGGCCATTGAATAATAATAATAATAATAATAACGATAATAATAACACTTTCTTATAATTTAACATCCATTAAAGGTTAGTCTCTTTAAAGCTGCATAAAGAGTAATTCGTAGTTAACATTATTTTCATTATAATATTTTGAATAGATTAGTTTTTTCTCAAATAAAACCTAAATATTAATAAAAAATCGCTTAAATATTTTTTCCTTTTTTTCTTAATTGTTTCTTTCAAATCCAAGCATCTGACAGTTCATCTCTTCATTGTACCATGATCTAATTAGACCAGGCTATAATTGAGATAGGTGCCACTTGGAGAGGTAGAAATTCTCATATGGTTTTTCTAGACCAGTTTTTTTTATGGGGAATCAGAATATGTGAGATAAAAGGGGCGTAACCTGAGAACTTTCGCGTGAGGGCGCTTCAGAACCTTGTATTGCCAGAGAAAATCTGGAATATAATACCTGTCTCTTATACACATCTAGATGTGTATAAAGGCATCCTATTCTTCCGGTATTACTCAAGAAAACATTGGCATAGGCCTTCACAAGAAGAGATAATAGTGGCCTATGCCCCGGTATATAATGCCAAGAGTGGGCCGAACACCTGGACACAGAAGGTATAGCATGACCCAAAATAATGACCAAATCACAATTCGTAGACCTATTTTAATTCATGTGAAAAAAAAATGTGGTCTATTGCAAAAATAATAAATTGTTCAAAATTCAATTGTTCAAAATTTTAATTTAATCACTGTCATAAATAGAGGAATTGAGTTTGTTACTGAATAAATAAGTGCAAGGAACATGAATACATAATGTAATAAAGATTGATTATATGGCCTATTTACACAACGTTCAGGGTATTGTACATGAATCAAGTATTAACATGAATGGCTGAGTGAACAGACGTCAGTAACTAGCTCCGTCAGAAATATACAGAACGTTACTAAAATACTATCGTAGCCAACGATATACAATCCGAACTGTAAGTGTATTCCGGACTTTAGAATTGATTATCATTAAAGTAAAAAATGATACTGAAGATGGGTAAAAAAAAGCAGCCAATAGACGTAGGCCAAAAATCACCAGCAGACGTAGGCCCACAATCACCTGAGTCGCCTCCGCCGTCTAAAGCTTCCGCCGCTGCTAGTACGGAAGCACTGAAGCGCGAAATTTAAAAGCTATCAACGGACTTGCTTGGTATTCGTGGTCAGCTGGACACTGTCTTAACTAACCAACATACCATATTAGGAAGGATGGACAAAATCTAAAACAAACAGACTCTATTGGAAGAATCAATTGAATTTGCAAGCAATTCAATCACAGAAATAGAAACGAAAATGGATAATTTAGCTGCTGAGCTTAAAGAAGTATCTGTGGAAACAGAAAAATCAAGCTGTATGTCGCTGCAAAAACAACTCAACAAGTTCGAAAGATATTCAAGATCGTTTAATTTGCGTTTTTGGTGGCTTACCGGAGGAAAGAAACAAAAATGCTGTCGAGAAGATTAAAGATTTGATCAAAAATAAGTTAAATATTCCGGAAGTTATGTATGAAAACGTCCACCGGACAGGTAAACCCGTGCACCGAACTATAAGCCAAAGCATATTGTTGCCAAGTTATATACCCAACGTCATCAAGTCTTTACGAAGGCGAGGGCATTACTAAAAAACAGTAACTTAATTGTTACTGATTATCTTTGCGAAGCGGATCTAGCAAAAAAAGTCGAAAAGACACAATGGCCCTAGCCTATAGTGAGGTCTGTTCCACTCCTAGGTAGACATTGTCTATTCTTTTAACTCGTTGGCTATTGTCACTTAATTTGTAGCATGTCATAATATTAATTATGATTAAAATTAATTATATTTATACTTCTACTTAATATTTCTCTGACGGAGCAATGGCTTACCGTATCCTTTTTTGTTATAGCACATTAAGTAGCCCGAACTTATTTACGAACCATGTGTTTTTATTATGTGTGTTATTATTATTATTATTATTATTATTATTATTATTATTATTATTATTATTATTATTATTATTATTATTATTATTATTAATATCCTTATTATTATTAGTAAGTTATCTCTTATTTATTTATTTATTTATTTTGGCATCTACTGTTGCAATATTATATACTATCATGTTAAATGCTATTAATTGATAATATACATATGGATGATGTACACTTTATCTATATTTCAAAGTGCATATACCCACATTTTTCTATCTTCGTGCTGGCATTGAATGCATAAGGTTTAAAAATAAGTGTAAAAGTTGAGTTTGACTTTGATGTTATTGCCATTTCTGAATCTTGGCTTAAAAACGATGATAGACCACTAACAAATATTCCCGGATATACATTCTTATCTAAAAAAAGACAATCCAAAAGTGGTGGTTGCGTAGCTTTGTACGTGCAAAACAATTTACCTTTTGTTGTTCGTGATGAATTATTAACCGATGAATCAATGTGAATCGTTGTTCATCGAAATAAAACTAAAGCATGGAAAAAAAATATTATCGTAGGGACATTTTACCGGAATCCGTCTTTGGACGTTAACGCCTTTAATGATACCCTTGACAAACTTTGTCATACCCTTGCAAATGAAAATAAGCAGGTATTTCTGCTTTGCGACTTCAATATTGATATTTTGCAATATACTTCCGAAAATTCAATACAAAATTTTGTTAACACTCTCTTTTGCAATTTTTATTTACCCATAAGACCTATTAGAATAACGTCAACAACTGCTACTCTACTTGATAATATACTGACCAATCAGCTCTTGCGAGTGGCCAACTTTATTGTGACATTTCAGATCACTTACCTGTTTTTCCATATCTTCACTGACACACAAAAACACTCAATCAACCAATGTACTACAGAACAAAACTTATAGGCAAATTAATGCAAACAATATTGAACATTTTGAAGGAGAACTTAGTGAAACATCATGGGATGAAGTGAGTATACTCCAAAACGTAAACCAAGCTTATTCAAAATTTGAAACCAACTTAAAAGTTTTATATAATAAACACTTTCAAAAAAAAAAATTTTAAACTAACTAAAATTAAAAATTAAAAACATGGATGACTGATGGTCTATTACAATCTATTAAATATAAACAAAAATTGTATGCAACATATTTACGTAATCCAACCGAACGAAACAAAATTAAGTATGAATTATTAAAACGTGTTAAAATTGATTATTATTTAAACAGATTTCTTCAGTGTAAGCTCGATATCAAAAGGACATGGCGTATAATTAACACATTGATGAAAAGGTCTTCGATCACAAACACTGATGTAATAATAGATGATAACTGTGAACCTATAAAAGATTCTACTGAAATCGCAAATGCGTTTAATAAGTTTTTTGTTGAAATAGGCCCAACCCTTTCTAATAAAATGCCGAAAATCGACCCGAAGTTAATAAATATTTACCTCAACCTACCCTGAATTCATTGTTTATGATTCCAGTATCGGACACTGAAATTATAGACATTGTTAATGGCTTTAAAACTAATAAAGTACAGGGACTTGACGAATTTAGCCAAAAGTTTTATATCAATCAATTTATTTTTTAGTTAAACCTCTTTGCCATATATTTAATTTATCTTTAAAAAACGGGGTTTTCCCAGATCAATTGAAATTAGCGAGAGTCTCCCCTATTTTCAAAATGGGTAGGAAGGATTCATTGTCAAATTACCGACCAATATCTGTTCTTACTTATTCTCCAAAATATTAGAACGTATGCTTTTATTGAAAAAAAACGATATTCTTTTTGATAAGCAA